AAAAAAAAAAAAAGAGGGGAAAGAAAGAAGAAAAAAATAAAAAAAGGAAAAAAAAAGAACAAAAAAACAAGACTCAATCCGTTCTTGCCTCGACCAGGGCGAGCGGGTGTGGAGGGAAGGCGCCCGGGAAGTCGGATGGGGGGCGCATTGGGAAAGTGGGTTCTATAGTCATCCAGTCATTAAAATCAGGCGATAGTCTCTGCATTCCGCTATCTCCCGTGGTTGCCCTTCATCCTTATCCCCCCCCCATTCCACTTTCGCTATCCATCCTCCCATATCCCCTCCTAACCAGACTTTGCAGAAGGAGGAGAGTGCTCGCTTGATATCTGTATTTGTCTGAAAGAGGTCCAGTTGGGGTTTCAGCACCTGCCATCTTCTCATTATCAACATGTTTATTTGCTGTTGGATCTGTTCGGTTACTTCTGGCCCTTCTACCCTCACCCCTTCTATAGCCAGGAGGCACCGTTGCCACCAAAGTCCCCATAGGATTGCTCTCCGTCCCAATTTGAACATGTTTTCCACAAAGTCAGATGCCTCCTGGGCCTGTGGCCAGAACCCTGTGAGAATGGTCCTCCATAACCACGGCCATGGTGGGTCAGGGACCATCTTTCTCCATATCCTATCCCACCAGTGCCACGTCAGTTTTGCCGTGGGGCATTGCATGAACGCATGCTCGATGGTTTCTGGCCTCTTACTTATCGGAAAGACTTGCAAGCATTGCAGGCACCAGGGTAGGGTCTGTCCTTTCTGTTCTAGATTTGTATGGTCAATCAACCAGCTCGTAGTAGGGAGGCAGCGATGGGCAATCTGCCACTACAGTGAGGTGATCTTTGTTGGTTTTGCTTTTCGTTCTTGAAACCAGGGGATTGGTGTGAGGAGAGAGCGGTCCACATTAAGGTGTTTTGCCCATCTGTCATTTATCACATCTCTCAACGGTCTCTTGGGTCTGAGCATTTTATAAGTGGATTTGACAATCAATTTGTGGAGTCTGATCTTCTTGGTGGGGCCTGCCTTTCGGTCCGCGGGTTTCCACTCCCACTCCTCTGGGTCTAAGGGCAACTCATGTATTACAGTGGATGGCTGAAAGGCCCGGGCTTCCTCTCCCTTGCCCTGGACTCGTACCCAAAAGACTTATGTCTTGTCCATTCAGATAAAGGGGACCTGTTTGCCCTGCAAGGATCCTGATCGATTGAGTATGTATCTTTCTACTAGGGCATCATGGGTCCTTGTCAGATGTATTCTCCCTAGGTGCCCAGGGTCTCCTCTGAGCCCAACCCAGTCCCCTTCCTTCACCGAAGGGCCTTTTCTCAACTTCCTATACCACGAAAGTGGTATCCTCTCTATGAGTTTGTCCAGATTTTGTGCGACGTGGTGACAGTGTTTTAGTGTGGGACGCAGTTCCTCTGCTGTCTTGCAGTTTTTCCGCTCATTGTTCCATATATCTCCTATTCTAATCACCCCTTGTTTCACTCGTCCTTTCCACAGAGATGTTGAGTTGTTCATCACTTGGCCCTGCCTGTTTGTGAGCTAGCAGTTCCCGAAGAGGGTTGACGAAAAACCTCCTCCCAACGGTCAGGATGCTGCCTTTCCGGGGGGGCGAGTTGTCGCCAACTCCTCAATAACGAGGGCCAAAATTGATCCATGGCCCCGTTCGGGCTCCCTCCCTTGTTCGGCCATTTTCTTGGGATCGTCCAACAGCGATCCTCCAACCACGTCAGCGGGTGCACTCCGGGAGGGGCGGGGGGAGCTAGGCGTGCTAGGTGTTCTAGGGCTAGAGGTTGCCAAGGACAGTCTGTGGCGAAGATCAGTTTTCTGGTCCATTGAAGTCGAAGGGCTTGGGCTTGGGCTGTCGGATCTATTATTCCATGACCTCCTGCACTCTTTGGTTGGATGACCGAGTCCCAGGCAACCCTTAATTTTCTTCAGCGTGCTTGAACTTGGTGCAAAATTTAAGCGCTAAGGTCAATGCACACAATTCCTTCATTAAGTGGAACTATCGACCATAACGATGATCGATTGTCCACAAAAGAGTAATAATTCAGGATTCCGAGTATTCTCTGATTGTAGAATCTTTTTTTCTTTTTAAGCCCAGGGTGTTGTAAAGGCCATGGACTAGACCCACGTTGATCGCTGCAGCGGCAGCCAACGGTTATCCTGACAGAATAGGCCACCTTCCCTACCCTCTGATTGTAGAATCTTAATATCTCAGCATGATCCATGGGGACTATTCCACGTTTTGTTGTGAACTTGGTGCAATATTTAAGCGCTAAGGTCAATTCACAAAATTGAAAATTCCTTCATTAAGTGAACAATCATCAACCATAATGATGATCCACTATCCTCAAAAGAGTAGTAATTCAGGATTCTAAGCATTCTCTGATTGTAGAATCTTAATGTGTCAGCATGATCCATGCGGACTATTCCACGTTTTGCCGTGGGTATAGATTCCCATGTTCAGTTGTGCTCTTACATTGTTCCCATTGTAAGCATAACTCCCCTGCCTTATTTGCTTTGTTTGGCAATTTTCCGGCGTGGAGGATCTTCAGGAGGGGCTCTGGGTGATGTGAAATGGTCAGGCGGGGAGGGGGCGATTCGTGTTGGGGGGGGTGGGGGGACTGTAGTTAGTTAGGTTGGGGTCTCTCTCTCTCTCTCTCTCTCTCTCTCTCTCTCTCTCTCTCTCTCTCTCTCTCTCTCTCTCTCTCTCGCGCGCGCGCGCGCGCGCGTGCGCGCTCTGCCCGGGCCCGATACCTCTCTCTGCCCAGGACCTTGACCATGACTTTGCCCAGAGCTCGCCCGGCCGGGCCACCCGGGCCAATCTGGCGCAACCCGGGCCACCTGGCTGGTAAGTTGTAACACAGATTCTGGGACACTGTTCACTGAAGGCATTTCCAACTGGTTACCCTGTACAGCTTCCTCCCAAAGCATGAAGACTAAGGTTCTCGCCCTTCGCTCGGAAGTTCTCCACGAAGGTTCTGCATTGGTACTCCTTGGCTTTGACGGTTTGACCTCATTAGCCTTCATCTTTCTCTGACGCAGAATTCTGTTTCTACCGTCCGCTGGAATAGTCCCCACGCCTCTTGGATGTGCATTGGTTGTTCATCTATTGTTTATTAGCATCTTATTTTCCATATGACCCATAGGGCAGCTTTCCTAAGAATTTGGAAGAGGTTGGTCTCTAGAGGGGGCCATTCTTTGGGGGTGGCGAATCCCAATGGTGGGCACGTAGGGCTATCTGTGAAATCTACGGCAATTGTTTTTTCCCATATTCTAGCTACCCTTTGGGACATAGGAGGAAGCAGTGATATAGGTTCTCCATTTGACCCTCCGTGCAGGTGGCGCACAGTTCCTTAAACCGCTAGTACACGGCCCCAGCCTTGCAGAAAGTTTTTGTTGCCACAAGCAAAACTCAGAGGCGCCGCGCAGCCCGGGGCGCCGTTAAAAAAAAAAATCGGCGGCCTCCGAAGTGGTGCGGGTTTCATCCTGACACCCACGGGCCTATGTGTGGTGTACTGGTGGACTTCTGTCTTCTCTTCTCCTTCTAACTCTTAGCCATTGGTTTAGTGGGACTGCTAGATATAGGATTAGCCACCATAGGCTTCTGAATTCGGGGGGGGGGGTGAGTTGCTGAGATTTGGTTCTGACTTAGAAGCCTAATCAGCATCCTGTTTGCATTTTCACCCACTCCATCAAGCTACCTTTGAACCAAAGCTGGGTGATTGTCCCATTACATTTTCTGGGTAAACTGTGAGGACCCCGGTCTCCACAGGTTTTGAATTTGTGATAAAAAAACTACCACTGCAATATTCTGTCAGTCTGGCAGACCACGGTCTTCACCCGAATCGGAGGTCCGGTCATGATAGATGCATTGGGCTCAACTTTCAGTCCAGATGCAGCGATACTTACCGGGCGTTTTATTCGGGTGACTACGGTAGCAGACAAGTGGCGCATGAAAAAAATCCTATTAAGGATCCTATTCTCGCTTTCACACACTAAGAGCATCCTCACATAAGGACTTTCTCTATCGAATATGGCATTTGGACACCATTGGAGTTGGGTACATTCAAGACGTTCCGACTCTTTCTTCTTCTTTTTTTTCCGACTCTTCCGAGTCTGAGCACGGTGTAAGAGAAAAGGGGCCTCTCATCTTTGCTACAGCTTGTGTTCAAGGCTCTGATTGAAATCTTCTGCCAGGCCATGAATTGGGGGGGAACTGAATTTCCGGTCTGCATTATCTCCCCATCAAGTTGTTGGTCCACTTCCCACCGTCCCCACCCTTGTTGTGCTAAACATCTAATATGATTTTTACCTTTTGGAAAGGGGGGGGGGGGGGAGGGGAAATCTAATCCAGGCTCTATTTGTGTGGTTTTTCTTTTGAAAGCTCATGGAAATGTTGAACAAGGCACAAGAGCGACTGAAACGCCTCAGGCTTATTCCTCCATTGCCGTATGGTTCAATTAAGAAGTGTGGTGCAGAGGGGTTGATCCGACCCAGCGACCTAAAGGACCAAGCAGAACCTGAGGACTCACGTAACATCGAAGAAGTTTGTGGACCGTTAAAGTGGAAGGTGTCTCTCGCAAGAAACCCCAAAAAGTAAGTCCAACATAGAATTACATAAACTTAGGGAGCAGGTACAGACCTGTTGGCGGAACAGAGCGTTCGTGTAAAGAAACAGCACAAGTGGTTAACGGGAACCCCCACTTTCAGCTCCTGAGTAACGGGTCGAAAACTGAAATTAGGGTTTGGGCCCTTGGGGATCAAATGTTATGTTTTTTTAGGGTTTCTTTTTTGGCTGTTTTTGTTTTGGTTCAAGGTTGCTGTGTGCCAAATTTGTTATCATTCGGGGAATTGGAATTTCCTCTGCTGAGATTTCTGAAATTTGTCAGGAAGATTTCTGAAATTGGAATGTTGGCGAAATTTCATGAAAGTGCACTTTTCTTCATTTTTTTTTTTTTTTGCAAGTAGCTAGTATGATCTCCAATCTATGAATTGGTGTTAAGTTTGGTTAAAACGACCCTTGGGTTTTGTTATAAATCGCATGAGAAGTTGTCTGCAAATTGAGGCCTCCGTTAACCGACTCTTGCCCCACTGTTTTTTTTTTTTTTTTTTTAATAAGAGAAAACCAGCTGAGACTGCTAGTGGTGTTGCTATGAGCATCCACCACTAACAGCCCAGCTACTGGCTCCAGTCCATTGGTGGGGAGCTGCACCTGCCGGAAAACGGGTCCAGCGTCCCTCATACAAATGTTACTCGTACATGATTCAAAAAAACGGGGAGTATGGAGAAAAGGAGTACTGCCTCTTCAGCCAGAAGCTGGCCGCCAGATGACTGTGGCATTACTAGCAGTACTACCGCCTATAGCCCAATCTGATATAATCATTCAGATACTTCTCTCCCCACTGGTACTATATTCATTCCTAGAAGTTAGAAGCATGATGATGATGTCCAGTTGATGTAGCTCAGTGGTTAGAGCACCGGTTGGAAATGTGCATTGTGCTATGAGGTTGCGGGTTCAAAACCGTAGCCTTGCGCATGGACACTGGCAGGGCGTTAGAATGACGCACGGCTGGACACACACAGGTTAGCTATTACAGACACTGCATGTGCACCACCCAAGGGTTGTTCATGGTGTTGTATGTTGGTTCTGGGTTTCACATGGGTTGGTTGGGGGTGTTGGTCTTGGGTGTTCTGTTGATCTCCCCAGTCTGGCATGTCATACGTTCGTGCCATTTCCACTAGTCGTTCACATGGTAGAGTCGTTCGATTACACGTTACAAGGTCACGGGTTGGAGCTTGGTTCGGACCTTGGGGGGGTCCTTGTCCAGCTTACCCCGTTCTCTCTTCGATATACACACATGATACTGCCTATACATCTCGATACATTGATTCACAGAGCACACATAGCCTTCGGGCATATACATAGCTTGCGAATTATACATGGCCTACGGGCTACATACACAAGTTTCCATTCCACACATGGTGCTGTCTGTCCATCTTCATACGTAGATACACCGAGCATACATAGCCTTCGGGTACACACATAGATTGCGAACTACACAACTATCAGACTGGGGGGGTCTAGTCACTGGATGGGGTCTAGTATCTGCAGTAGGGACAGGTATGGGCCACCGGAGTTCCTACTGATATTCGAATAGAACTGTCTAGTGACTATATATAAGGCTTAGACCCTGGGGTAAGGGTAGGGGTATAAGTCGCTCAGGCCAGTCCGAGTTCCGCCTGGACTTGGGTAAGCTAGGGGAAGGACGGTAAGACTGCTTTATTGGGTGTTACCCTGTCTGAAACCTAGGGCCCAAAGTCTCTCGGGGCCTGTATTAAATTGTCTGGGCCTGGCGTCCGAAGCTAGGAGTATTGACGTGAGGATGGGATGGGAGGTGGTCTCATATTCCAGGACAACCACGGCCTACTGCTCCAGGTGATCACTGTGTACTCAGTGACTGTCCTCCCACGCGAGACTCCAATGCACGTACTCCGGTATTCAGTCGACGCTGGCCGAAGCCGGGGCGGGTCGCTTTGCCCTGTAGCCTAGCAGATGGGGGGGTTCTGGGGTGGGTCGTGCCACTTTGTAACCTAGCAGTTGGGGGTGTGCGGCCTGGCAAAGATTGAGTATCGGGACATAAGGGGGAGGCAGATAGGGTTGGGCTGCTGAAAGCATTAAGGCAGGTGTTTTGTTTTCGATCTCAACGTTCCTATGATCTAAGGCTTTGTTAGTTGTTCATGGTTGTCAGTGGTGGTCTTACGAATGATTTGTGATTCTGGGGACTCCTAGCAACTCATTTTAGGGGGCTCCATTGTTGTTATACTCAGTGATCTGCGTCTGTTCGATGCCAGACCGACGCTGGTCGGTGCTGGGGTGTTGCCCTAACCTGCTGATGCAGGAGTGTGAGGCCTGGTAGACAGATCTGGGAATGCTTTGGGGTGGGCATTCCAAGGGACAACCAAGGGTTGCTGCTGGGACGATGCTGGTCGGAGCCGGGGCGAGCCGTGTTGCCCTGTAACCCAACAAGGTGGGGGTGTGAGGCCTGGAAGAGCTCGGCAGGGAGTAAGACAGTGTTGGAGAGTTTTAGAAGGGTTTGCTAGGGATTCCGAGGGTTTTGAACATTTGTAGGACCTTTATGGTGGCGATCTTCGTTGCGGGTAGCCCCTTGTTTTTCTTTTTTTTTTTTTTAACAAAACAACCCCCGCCAGTGATAGTGGTGTTGGTAAGAGCAGACACCACTAGCACCTGGGGAGCAACTCCATCTATTGGTGGGAAGCATCACCTGCTGGAAAACGGGTCCAACGTCCCATATACAGAGCGTAACAGAATATGCGAATGTGTAGAAAGTCTGCCAGCATTGATTACCCTGGGGTCCAGGGGATTGACTGAGCAGGTTATTTGGGGCGAGGGGGGGAGAGAATCTCTTCACCAAAAACTGGCACCAGATATCTGCTGGTACATGCTAATTCTTCCCTCCCCTCACACTGATCAAAAAATTGTTTTACACATAGAAACTCTGTTCCACTAAGCATAGTGAAGAAGGTGGGAACGGGTCTGGGAAGTCCGAGAGTGGCCAAAGTGCGATTGCTGGGTCAAGTATTGTCCATTCGTGTAAGCAGAGATGAAACTGCCTGTGAGCCGTCTTCTGGTCCCTTCCTTGACCTTCTCTCTCTCTCACCATCCCCAATGCCCCCCCGTTTGTTCCCCCAAGCCAGTTGCCATTGAATTGTTGGCTAATTCGTTGAATTTCCTTTGAGTCGTGAAGTGTGGAGATCCGACTTTTCACCTGTTCCCACTGGGTGGAGATGTCAGCTTGAACCTGTTGTTTGATATCTGTGAATTCTGGTCCATCCAGTCTAACTTTCTCCATCTCGTGGGTGCAACGCCTCCACCACAGGGCTCACATTACTGCCCTGCATCCTATTCTGAAAAGGTTGTGCGAGAAAGTGTCTAGCTGGGGTGGATGCCAAGATTCGCAGAGGATAGCTCTCCAATCCCATGGCCATGGGCAACTGGTACCGAGTTGATTCCATATTCGGTCCCACCACCTCCATAGCCAGACCGCCCTGGAGTATTGAAGGAAGATGTGTTCAATTGTCTCCGGGAGTTTCTTGGCAGGGAAGACCGAGGTACAAAATTTCAAATTTGCACTAGGGTAATGCAAGTCCTCTTTGTTCAAGGGACGGTCGGTCTATAATCTAGTCGCTGGTTGGTAGACAACGATGGTCTATTTGCCATTGCAGGGAGGCTACTTTGGCGGGTTTAGCCCGTATCCCTTGGAACCATTTGATTGGTCGCAGTGACTCTTTGCTGACGTTGAGCTGTCTCCTCCATCTGTCTTCCACCTGGTCTTTGAGGTGGGTCTTAGGCCTTAGCATTCTATAGGTGGATTTGACCGATAGATTGTGTAGGGCTCGGGTGCACTTCCTACCGTTTCCTGTTGGGTTAGACCAGGTCCAGTTGATGGGGTCGAAAGGGAGGTTAGCAATAGGTGTGCTCGTTTGAAGGCCAGCCATCCATCTTTGAGTTGTACAACTCTTATCCGGAATAGCAGGTTGTCCCGAACCCATTCCGTTATTTAAGGTTGGGGTCTGCGTAGTAAGTCTGAAGAGGTTGAGTAGGGATTCCCCTTGCGGGTGTCTGACTACTGTGCTGCCCACCCATTGGGGTTTCCCTCGTATGGCCACCCATTCTCTCTCATGCATGTTGGGGCCTTTTCGCAGGATCCGGACCCAGTCCAGGGGGATCATTTCGATTATTTCATCGAGTGCTTCTTTCGAGTGATGGCAGTAGCGTAGCTTAGTTCTTATCTCCTCTGGGGGAGCCAATTTTTGGTTGTTTGGTCCCAGATGTCCCCTACTCTCATTATTCCTCTTGCTACCCTTCCTCGCCATGGCGAGTCCATACAGTGCGGAGATTGTCCCAGGGAATCTTTGATCCATCTGTTATTGAAGAGGGGTTGCTGACAGACCTCCTCCCATGAGTCCCATCTTGCTGAGGGGGGTTTGTCGGAGAGGGGTAGTTTGCGCCAAATTTTCGGAAGGTTGGGCCAGAACGAGTCTCTCTTGATGTCCGCTCTCACAGCCTGTCGGTCTGATGTCTGTGGGGGAGCCGGTGGGTGGGGGGTCCCCCGCGGAATTGTCCATGACCTATTCTCCAGCCACATCATTGGGTCGATGCCAGCTGGAGTGGAAGGCGCTAATCTCGCTATTTGCTCTAGCGCCAAGGATGCCCATGGGGTCTATGGGTTGAATATTAGTCTTTTGATCCATTGGACAGCGAGTGCTTGGGTCTGTGTCAATGGGTCGATGATTCATAATCCTCCCTTTGATTTGGGTGGATTATTGACTGCCATGCCACTCTGCTGATAACATTTGTGTGCTCGTGGTTACCTCTCCACAAATAAGTTGCTGCTTGTCTTTGGAGCGGCGAAGGGCTGCCTTGTCCAGTGCCCAGATTGCTGATCTGTACCAGAGTGATGCTAGGACCACGTTGTTTATCACCAGCGTCGGCCTAGTAGGGATGTATGTTTGTCTTTCCAAGCTGTTAGTTTTTCCAGTATCGGTTGCGATATCCATTCAGTGTTGGTAGTCGG